TTTTTTGCTCGAAGAAATAAGCCCAAATGTTACGTTTTTGGTCAATAAAACTTGACTTGAAAATTTACCATTCCAAGCAAAATGATGTCGATCTATTATGTGAAAAGCACCATCGCAGTTAACATGAAACCAGATAGGATCTATTGGGGACTAGTTGAGTCTAATCGTTAATGTCATTAATAGAAAGTTGACGATAAGCCATCTACGTCTATGTCTTGCCAACTACCCTCCAGTCAAGTAGTTGGGGAGTTTTTATATTCACTTCCAGCGATCGGCCATTTTCAGTATCAAGTTGCCTCCATTTTCGTTCACTTGATCCTTATCTGGACACATTATATGCCTATTATTTGGGGATATACGGGCAACTTTTCGAGAGGAATTGTATGTGCGTGTTCAAAGTTATTTGGAGTTTGATTAAGAGTTGCAGGTTGCAAAATGCAACTGGTTGACCGTCGAGAGTTCTTGGGGTTTTTGTGTCGAGTTTCTTGCAAAACACGACGATAATTGCAAAATCCCCTCGGAGCCTATCGTTTCGTCGTTTTATTGGAAATGGAGACAGCAATTGGAAAAAAATCGTCTTAATTGAACTTTCAGACTTTCAAATCCACCCTATCGGATTATGCTTGGTATCATTGGCCAGTTTAAGCAAAAAAAAGTGCGTACCTAAAAATCAGCCTACAGTCAGTACCTAATATGGCGCCAGTAAATTCTACTTCGGTTTCGTATCGTTGGGATTTTTTAAATAATTGCCACCGATAAGCGTTTTACCAGCATTTAGTTGCTGTCAAAATTTTCAATATTTCTAGTCTTTTTTCTTCTCGCAAAAAGCGTTAGCTACGAATTGAAGGAACCCCGTAGCACATCGGCGAATTTTCTGGGCGCTACCGCCATGTTCACAAGTGAGAGCAACGTATCGGAAATCGCTAGCCTTGTTGCACTTTTTCCATTTACGAGGGCATGTCGCAAAAAACTGCCGCTTTTAATACGAGTTTGCTGGACTGTATTTTGTCAGAATTTTGGGTTTAAATGTTCACAGCTGGCCTTAAACTGGTGCAAATTTGTGAATTTTTTTCGGAATGTTTTTACTTCTATTGCTAAAAAAAATCTTTCATTTTGATGGTTCAGTCGATAAAGCACCGAATTTTAAGATACATTTGTCAAATAAAGGTGGTTTTCCGATACAGCAGCCTGTCAAGGATTGGGATTTTTCAAGGACTTTTCCTCCCATCATTGCATTTATTGCCAATTTTCCATCGGTTTTAGGTAATTTCCAACAGCAAAAGTGACTAGACTTGAACATATACAAGCAAGCAATCCCAGCACCGCTCCCTTGCTCAGAAGTTTCAAACCACATTTTTGTCCGTAAAAACCAAATCTCATGATCAGTCGAAGTCTCCCAAGCAGTTGATAACATGTCGGCATAGTCCTCATTTTTTTTATTTCACTCACAAGTCCGGTGGTGTAAAATCGGGCAATCGCGAAGGCCAATCTGACGGCCTCAAGCAGTTGAAGCGTTCAGCAAGCCTTTTTTGAACCATTCTGGACTGGCAATTTTAAGGTTTTTATATGTTGGTTGTCGAAATATTCGTAATATCTTTTGAAACGAGCTGTTTTAACACCTTGTGAACGTCTGGAAGCAATGAAAAGCGATCCCCATGCCGGATTTTCATAGATTCTTCAGCGATTCTGCCCAATATTGCGTCGGTTTGCCGCCGGTCTTTGTCTGGTGGCGTGATATTGACGCCCCAACAAATCCGTTTGGCGAGAATAGCACTTGTTTTCAAAACTTGTCAAATGTAGACTTAAAATATGGTTGAAAAAAAGCTGCAAGCAATGATAATTATATGATGTTCCTAATTTATTGTCCTTTGTTCTGGCAATGGGTTTTTTTGTGGTGTGTTACGCTGTAGCCATTGGAGTCATGTTTGTGTTTCCTCTACACCATCGACAATTTAAAAATGAAATGTATTTTATATGTTCCAACGAAACTTACACGAAGAACGATAAGACGCTTGTTTTATCGTAAACTATTAACCTTCGACTAACTGGTATCGGTAAAACGACGCGTGTATCCCAAATGCAACATGTCTATTCACTTTAAAATTACCTATTAGTAGCTAACAAGATATTTATTTCCATGTGTAATATAATGTTAAGGCTGCAAGGGGAATTCGAAGATATCAAACTCGTTGTGCAACCAGAATTGGGTTAATTTGTAAACGTTTTTCTTGCTTGATTGCTTGCAGATGTTCGGACTAACCTTACACTTCTCAGGTTAGAATTTCCAACTCAAATCCCTTCAGTTGAGTCAGAATTGAAAATTTTTATCCTATTTGTTCGGTGTGTATATCCAAAGGGATTAATCATCAACTTCCAGCACAAAATTTCCAGCTGAATCTTAGTGGTTAACCGCGATTTTTAACCTCTAAAAACATCAACGCAAAAGTTGCTAATCGACGGCAGCTTTTTATTTGAAACGGTTGAAAATGCCTATTTGAACCTCAGGAGAATTTCGGTTGAGTGTTCCACAACAGCCTTTCACTATTTGGATTGTATACAAAATTCCTAACCTCTAAACAGATAGAAGCAAAAATATGAAGGTTGGAAGTTTCAGAGTTTGTATGTCGGAAACCGTTCCAAACATATAAATCCCCATAAAGTGCTTTTTGATAAAAATATTGCGATCTATTTTCTACTTTTTAAATTTTAAAGCAGTTTATAACCTCAATTGGGATAAAGTTTCTAATTAGCGGGAGACATTCCTTCACATCTCCTGAACAATAAAAAACTCCCATGCAAAGCTAAGAAGCATTTTGGTTGAGCGCTTCCAGAACAGTCTTTGACTATTTGGACTTTACCGGAAATTTCTAACCAATAAAGAAATAGAAGCAAAAATGTCTACATTGGAAGTTCAAGCGTTTGTATCTCGGAAACTGTTGCAAATATGTAAATGCCCCTAAAGAGCTCTTCGATAGAAAATCTTGAGAACTATTTTCCTCTATTTAAGTTTTAAGCCAGTTCCTAACCTCAAAAGAGATAGACGCAGAAGTTTATAATTAGCGGGAGATTTTCCTTCACATGTCCGAAACAGTAAAAAATTCCTATGCAAAGCTAAGAAATGTTTCGATTGAGCGCTTCCAGAACAGTCTTTGACTATTTGGACTTTACGCGAAATTTCTAACCAATAAAGAAATAGAAGCAAAAATATCTACATTAGAAGTTCAAGCGTTTGTATCTCGGAAACTGTTGCAAATATGTAAAACTCGCAAAGACCTTTTTGATAGGAAACCTTGAGAACTATTTTCCTCTATTTAAGTTTTAAGCCAGTTTCTAACCTCAAAAGAGATATTCGCAGAAGTTTATAATTAACGGGAGCTTTTCCTTCACATGTCCGAAACAGTAAAAAATTCCTATGCAAAGCTAAGAAATATTTCGATTGAGCGCTTCCAGAACAGTGTTTGACTATTTGGACTTTACGCGAAATTTCTAACCAATAAAGCAATAGAAGCAAAAATGTCTACATTAGAAGTTCAAGCGTTTGTATCTCGGAAACTGTTGCAAATATGTAAAACCCGCAAAGAGCTTTTTGATAGGAAA